TGAGGACTCTACAACAGAACAAGCCAGACATTCTACCTCTGATGAAGGCCTCCAAGTCCAGGGAGGTTCACAGCACATAATTTGGATTCCATGGCAACCTTACCATGGTCAGCTATGTGAGAAAGAGATGAATGGGTGTTGTTCTTCTGAACTGTTGTTCTTCTTTTGAGCTTGATGCACTGCGTCAAAGTGGTGGCTGAAAATAGCAGAAAGAATAAACTGAAGTGATCAAATTCTACAACAAGACCAAAGGAGGTGTAGACACCACTGTCTGTGTCTGTGATAGTTGGCACCTACACCTGCAAGCGCTAAACACACAGGTGGCCCATAATTCTGTGGTACAACATGCTTGACATCGCCACCCTTAATGCCCACACCTTTTTCACAGCTAAGCACCCTGAATTCAAGAGTGGCTTTACCAGTGCATGATGGCTCTTTCTCAGTGAGCTCTCAAAGGAGCTAGTCACACCACGCATGAGGAGTTGACTAGAAGGCTGCCCCAAACTGTAAACCCCAATCACTGAAGCAATGGGAAGATGGGGGTTACAAAAGCCCATGGACGTTGGAACTATTTTCTGAGGGGGGGGGGATTTTTGTTGGGAGGGGCGGGGGAAGCACGCACACTTATCAATGATTAAGGATTTGATTTGAAGTTATTTTATAATAACATGCAGTTGTAAGAGAACTAGAATGAATGAACACGGCATCTTTATTGTTAAGAAAATGAAACTTTGACAACTAAATCAAGCCATTTAAGGAACAGCATTATTTGTAACCTTGAATGAAAAAAAGAAAAGTCTGCGCTCCTCAGGGTTTTCATGCATTTCCAAAAGTGGACCTTCTCTCAGTTGACCTACTTATGAAGATTTTAAGCAGGGTCGAGACATCACTTTTATCCATAAGGTCACTGTGAGCGTTCATAATGGCCAAATGTGTTAGTCTCTCCTGCGTCATGGTGTTGCGCAGCCAGGTTTTCAGCCTGCGCAAGGCTGAGAAAGAGCACTCGGATGCCGGGCAGGGCCAGACAGAGCTTAATGAGCTTCTCCACCTCCGACAGCATGGAGCGGGTTTGGGGCTGCAAGGTTTGCAGGGTGGACACAACATCCTGGATGGTGCTAACTTCTTGTCCCCTACACACATCCCTCAGTATGTCCAGCTCAAGGCTTAGCCGCTCTCGTGGAAAGGGGGTCAGTTCCGGGGAACTCACATCTCCTCGTTTCCCCTGAGCCGCCTCAAGAACTGCCTGCTCTCGCCCTGCAGCTACGCGGAGTCCCTCCTGATCAAAACGCCGCTCCACCTCTGAGCGCAACAGGTCCAGGGTCTCAAACAGTTGTCTCTTCCACAGGCTACTGTATGTAGTCAGGCAGGCTGCATATCACATCAAAAGCATAGATCTATGCATTAATGATATGAAAGAGATAAATGTAAGTCAGACAAATTGAGCTTAAATTCAGATTCTTTATTTTTTAAAAGCGTAATGCAGTGGGTAGGGAGGCTGATGGGGTGCAGGGAGGTGGATGGGAGGGGGGCCGCACCCCCTGCACCCCTAGTTCCGACGTCTATGCAAAAGTCACAATCCAGCTACAGGAAAGAAGCAGACAGGGCCATCCAAAGAGAAAGAGGTATCAGGTCTGCCCGAATAACAACATCGCAAAGTCAACAATAGGTGTGGGAAATACAGTGTGCCTGTGTGCAATAATCACAGCCAGATACAGGAAGTTTGTCACAACTGCATACAGTAAGGAGACAAGGCAGAATAGGAACTATCACATCAAGAGCTTCAGCAAACACTGTCACTTACCAGCAGGAAAATAAACAAGAGAGGAACTGTCAGTTCCACACATGCACGTACACATAAACACAAAAAAATGACTGTTGACAATTTATATTGGTATTTTTTGTTGTTTTTCAGTTATTTAAAAAAAATGTTCAAAATGTTAAGAAGTGAAAAAATAAAACATATTTCAAATATGAAATCTTTCTTGTGTGAACCAAAGTATAATACAATGTATATACAAATGATTATTCTTAACCAAAATGGCAAAAATGGCATATAAACATACTGATTCTAATATGGGTCATTTTTGACCTAGCTATGAAAGAGTGTATGGTCTAACCACTCATGTATATAAGGGTTAAATCTATTTACTTTTTTCAGTTTGGGATGAATTCAAAAACGTTGGCTTCTTTTCCATTGCAACTGTAGCCACAGCTCATAGTATTTAGAGTGGTCCACCATGCCAAAATAACAGGTGAAACACGATTTCTCCAAGACAAATTTTAAATCATGAAATCTGGTGGTCATAACATAAACCTATAGGGTCATTAGATTCTCCAGCTGAGTCCTGTGTTTCTAAGTTCACTAACACTGAAGATATTGTGTGAAGAACATCTTCACTACCCTGTAGATCTCATTTCACTCTTTGAACAAAAAGGCAAATAAGAGGATTTCCCAAATGCTGAACTAGTCCATTAATACAGGTTCTAATGATGTTCAAAGAATGTTCACTTGGGTGTAAAATAATGTGACAACAGCTGAATTTTATGTGCCTCTGCTCTATCAGTGGTAGCATGGCTGTGGAGCCTGCCTGCCAGCTGCTCTACATGCTTCTTTATTAATTTCCTTTCACACACTCTCTCTCCTTTATGTTGGCATGTTCTGTCTCTCAATTACTCTCTCAGTTCAAAGACTTGACTGTACCGAAGAATAAAGAGAAGAGCTGAGATTGAGTGATGAGGCAGATACTGGAAACACCAATGCAGCAGACATACAACCCTGAGTAAAAAGGAAAAAAATAACATTCTGTCTTCTCTCCTCTGCTTCCCCTCTTTTCTCTCACTTTCATCTTGTTAACTTCATGTAACCCTCTGCCCGGCCTGCTGTTTTACACCCTAAACCTATTTTCTTTCCCCACCTGCTTCACCCTCGTGTTTCATTGCCCTGACTTTCAATCTTGCGTTGTTCTCCAACTCAACCCTCTTCCCATATTGATTTTCTTTCCTGTGTTGCTTGTCAATGGAAAATAACCCCGTCACCTTGACCCATCACTCTGCACATCATTACATACACTGCCACTGACAAAATCCAATATCACAAAAACCAAATACCATTACACTGTTATGTATGTGACTGCCATATCCATCTCACACAATTCCTCATCAATCGTTCTACTCACAACTCCCATCCATTCTTTGTTCTGTCTCCTCATTCCTTCATCCCTCCCCTCTGCCCTCCAGCCGTGTGTCTGGTGCTTGGCTGTATCATCTTCCCCAACGGCTGGGACTCAGAGGTGATCCGGGACATGTGCGGAGAGGACACAGGGAGGTACACCCTGGGCAACTGCTCAGTGCGCTGGGCCTACATCCTGGCTATCATTGGCATCCTGGACGCCCTCATCCTCTCCTTCCTGGCCTTTGTGCTCGGCAACCGGCAAAGTGACTTCCTGCAGGAGGAGCTGAAGGCTGACAACAAAGGTGAGAGGAGGAAAATGAACAGTTAAAAGCATTAAAATTACAGGTGATGGAAAGGGCCAGGAGAAGTGAAAAGAAATGTGTGTTGTGGTTACAATATAATAACACTGTGCATTCCAAACTCTGTCAACGTTTATGTCAACTCAAATATGATTAAATAAGTAAATTAAGAGATAAGCTGATCAGCACAGGGCAAAAAATATTGAAATTCAAATGGTCGATTGATTGTTTAAGACATTTATAAAGTTACATGACCAAATATTTACTGCTTACAGATCTAAAAATGTGAGGATTTACTGCTATTTTCCATTGAATTTCACTGAACTGTAACTCTAATGTCACTGTACATAGTGCACTGTTGCTCATACAAAATAAGCTATTACATTGTATGGACAAAGTGTAATTTATTACAGGGAAACTTTACAATTTTCAACCAGTTCTCTGTCATCACAATGAGAGTAGTATGTGTGGTGTGTGCAGACGAATGGTGTTTGGCTTCCTCTTGTGCCACAAGAGTCTGGATGAAGTCTGGACAATGGACAAATTCAACTGTGTTTTCTGTTTTTAAATTTTAAAGTTGCTGAATCAACAAATTATTGAGGTTTTGAAAATATGCACACGTGCTAAATTAAAGACACATGTTGGCATGCATGATTAATGTGTTCATTCAGGGTGTGGCCAGAATAAATGAGCATACTGTTCACATTAATTGACCAGAAAAGGATTTCATGTTAGCACACAACATCATCATACAAACTTTACTAGGACGTAGACATGTAGCTACTTTTTCTGTAACAATGCTAAATGAAGTTGTCCTCAGTAGTGCTGACTAAGCTGATAAATCCTGACAGTCCTCAAACTCGCACTGTAATTACAACGAATCCCTCAGCTGTGTGGTTGATATTTATTGCTGCTGTATTATTAAAAAAGATGTTGGTCGTAGCTTTCTCGGTGTATGACTGGTGTTGCGATGAGAGATATCGCAGCATCATCAAAGGAAGTGAAGACTGTCTTGAGAAGCCTTAAGAGAAATGAAGAATAACTCCAATTCCTCTGAGTGTGTGGAGAAAGTTACCATAGTTACGAGTTAGATTCCAGAAGGATGAGGCTGTAATTTCCTCTCGCTGGATATGTTTCTGTCTGTTTATGTCTTTTTCTCTGTCACAGTGTCTCTCTCTTAGTTCATTTGTTTTTCTTTCTTTCTCAATGTGTTTGTGTCTATCTCTCGATTCTTTCTCTCCATAGAGCATCTTTTACATCAGTAAGTCTGTAAACATGAGCAGGTGTCATGCACAAACATTTGCATAGATGCCTGCCATCATACAAGCATGTGATATTAAAGATAAACTCTGACTTTGTTAGAGAACACAACTGCACCCTCTAATCTATGAAAAAAAAATCCAATTGATATCTTAAATGTCAACTGTGCAGAGAAATTAGTTCGGATATAAAAAGGAATCAAAATGTAGAGGCAGCACAAATGCGTAGAATGTCAATCGATCAGCATGAACAGAGCTGAGCAGACATGCCTCTTGAATTATGCAGCATACATATGAGGATATGTCCGCTCCATTTAGAAGTAATACAGTGTGTTTTATCCTGAGCTGCAGGACTGCACTTAAATAAATCAAGCTGGGTTTATAAGCTACTTGAGATGCATCAAAGTACTTTCTGTTTCACAGTCTCTCATTACTGAAGAGAAGACTTCTGTCATGCTAGTTGTAAAGACTTAGTTTTTTCACATACTGTGATAGAGTGATAGTCACAGTGAGCTGAAGCTTTGGAGTGTCAGTCTTTTTTATTAGATAAACAAGTCTTTCTGTAATTTTTGTCTTTGTTTTCAATGATCTCTATCAGCACCAGAAACTTGTAGGAGAAAACACTGGCAGCCAAACTGACCAATCACAGTTCTTTTCGTCTCCATGTAGTGTGTCCATAGTCATTTGTAAACAATGATGACATATGCAGGGCTGCGCACACAATGTGGCAACAGAAGTGATGTGGAGTGCAACAGCTTGTCAAACGATTCCTGGACATTAACCACCAAACACTGCCAATGCTACCGAAACAAACTGACTTTGACAAATAGTGGCCAACATCCAAATCCTTGTGCTATTAGTCTGTGTGTAGAAGACATTAGCAAGGGGCCCAATATTGAGAGGGCAGATATATACATGTGTTGTGTAGCATTTACACTAGTGAGAAATTACAAGTATGCAAGTCATGATATGCTTACAGCTATGTTATCTGTGGTCTTGTATAGAACATCAAAATACTGTAACACAGATTCAGAGTTTTGTGTCTTAAAATCAGAAATCCTCTCCAGCCAAAGACAAGGAACCAAGACCACTATGGATGAGGCTTGGGTTATAATTAACAAATCGGAAAAGTAACACCCTGAAAAAGGAAATACAGCTGCATTTTGTGTTGTTGGCTTGCAAGCTAGTTCAGAGCTCAATGATATATAGTTTTTATGCAAACATGAATTCTACTTCCTCTACTCCTATTTTACTGTAACATGAGGTACTGTGGTTGTCAATGTGCTTAACAACCTGCAGCCATGGGCACTGCTGGTGTTTCAGTTTAACCAGTGACCGTGGTTTCAGCTGAATGCACGGTGCTGTCTTACAACTGTCGTGGCCTGCATATGGGGCAGAATGCAGGAGATAAAGCTTGACGTCTAGTTGTTGATGGTCTCTTGAAAGAGTCTGACATCTTATGTCTACAAGAGACTTTTTTAGCCAAACAGGACTTGGATAAACTGAATTCCCTTGACCCAAATTTTCGTGGGGTGGGCGAGTCAGCAACTGATCTCAGCACGGCAATTGTCAGGGGCAGAATACCAGGGGGGTGGCTGTGCTCTGGGACAAAAGGCTTGATGCTGTGATAAAACCAAATATTTTTTTATATTATTTATTTATTATTATTCCAGTGGAAGTGGGGTGTAGGGGATTTATGGCAAGAACAGCTATCTCACTCGGAGTACAGGGACAGAGTTTGAGGAAGACAGTGAGGGAAATGTCAGATGAAGCAGCTAGATGTAGTCAGTGGATTTGGATAAGGAGGAATAATGTCAGTTGGGGGCCAGCAGGGGGACCTACTAGGCAGGGTACATAACTCCTTGAGATCGAGTAGAGAGATCCACCAATCAGTTCTCTTAGGAGAAAATCCAGGAGGAGGAAGGTTATTTAAGTTTGGAAGTGGCCTATTTGAATCCCTTTTGTTTGAGACCATGCTGCAAGGTGAGTGTGTTTGCTGATTCTGTGAGTTAATCTTTTCTATCTCCCTTAATTTTAGCTTATATTGGAGTTATGATATTTAGCGTATGAAATAGGGTATGGTGAATGTGCTAGGAAAGGCAGTATCGGCACGTGCACTACCTGGAGCTTGCATAAATGGAGCCTGGGTTTGTTGAAGGTGGCAGTGCTGTTTGGGCTGAGAAAGCCTGGGAGTTTATCTTCTCTATCTCCTTTAACTTTAGCTCATATTGGAGTTATGCTATGCAGTGTGTGAAATGTATGGTGAATGTGCTAGGAAAGGTAGTATCGGCACTGTCACTACCTGGAGCTCACATAAACGGAGCCTGGTTTGTTGAAGGTGGCAGTGTTGTTTGGGCTGAGAAAGCCATGTGTAATGTAAGGTAAAGGAGGTTGTTGGGTTGGTGCAGGGAGCAGTGAGAGCTGGCATTAGGGGAGTGTCTCTGGGATGCCAGAGATCACTGTCTAGCCTCCTCGAGATGTCGTGGGACCAACTAGACAAAACACTGGTGAAAGGAGGTTCCCACCTGATGACCCAAAGACGTGTTAGTTATCACTGCTCATTGGTCTGTGTAGTTAAGCCTTGCCATAATAGCTTATCATAGGGCTTAGGAGGTTATTCACTGAGTGCTGATCCTTTATCTAGAGCACAAATTTCTTGTGTTTATTTGAACTATCAATAACTTAACTCACTTTTGTGAGGATAACAAGCTCATACTATCAAGCAAAGTGTTACTGCCCATATACAGCTATACATATATAAGTGAAGCCTGGCACACCACCTCATGGCTTGACCATTGTATTAGTACAGCTGATGGTCATGAAGCCTTAGAGAACATGAATATTAAGTATCGGGCGTCAGTAACAGATCATATACCCTTAGCCTTCATTATTAATGTCAACTCTAACCACAGAGGATGTCCTGGATTACTATAATAACACAGACAATTACCTAAGGAATATGCTTTTGCACAAGATGCAATTATGTGTAAGGATGCCAATTGTACGAGTGAGCAGCATAAGGAAGACCTCTGTACAATGTATGATGATGTAGTGGCCACTCTGTATGATGGAAGCAACCAGTTCTATAAACACAATAAGCATGGCAACAAGTACAACATTAGACCTGGTTGGAATGAGCATGTAGCCCCATATCATGCTGAAGCCCATGAAGCCTATAAACTCTGGGCCATGGCTGGTAGACCTAGGCAAGGCCTGGAACTTGAATATAAAAAACTTGCAAATGCAAGATTCAAGTATGCTGTTCGCTTTATATCCAAAAATGAACAAGCCATGAGGGCTGACTCCATGGCCTACAAAATGCTCTCTAATAATGTGAATGACTTCTGGAAAGAGGTGAGAGCTCTTCATAATTGTAAACCCTCACTCCCATGTACAGTTGATGGAGTATCTGGAGCGGATAACATTGCAGAGTTATGGAGGCAACACTATAGTTCCCTGTTTAACTGCATAAAAAGTGATCCTTGAGTCCACTGTGTCCAACAGAACACAAAACAACCAGACATTTTGATGCTGGTAATAGAAAATACAAAAATACAAAATGCCATTCAAGAACTCAATATACAGTATGATGTAAATGCTTCTTAATATGAGTTTGCCATCAACAACCAACATACTAAAAAAAAGCTAAATAACATTAAGGCTGAGTACAGCAGCTGAAAAAGCTGCTTACTGTGTGAGAGATAGGGGAAGAGATGAAGAGAGGGTGGATGTTGGATTAGGCTATTTCACAATGTTTCTGCACGTTATTAATAACTTGCTCAGAATGCTGCTTTGTCACTTTTACCTACCCACCCACCTGACACCCACTTATCCAAACTGCCCAGCCTGCAGGTCAACCCACAGGACCCACAGGCTGTGGGTCAACCCACTCATCACTACACAGATGTATGGTGTCTTTAATGTGTCCTCTACAGGACAGTGTAGCATTTGATAAACCAGAATGTTTAGGAAATGAAGACAAAACTTAGAGGTTTGCATAGCAGGTCTTCTGCAGTGATAACTGCTATCACACACACACACACACACACACACACACACACACACACACACGGCTTTGTATGAACTATTACTATGTATGGACTACAGCAGGACCACTGATATTACAGTACTATACAGTATAGTGCATTTTAGCCTCTGTTAGCCTCCTGATGAAGTTCAGTTTCCAGGTAAATAAAGTGAAATTATGACTCTTTCTCTTTTGTATTTTTTTTTTTTTTTTCTTTTACAGATTTTGCTGTGTCAAGGGTAAGTTCCCATTATTGTTGTTATCGTGTATGGTTGTGAATAGTCTGTGTGTGTTGTAATGCATGGCACAGTGTGTATCTGAACACATTAACACTATACCTACTCACAGACACAGTACCGTGTAATACATGTATTATATGCAAAACACTCAGAGGCTGCATGTGAGAAAAAAAAGGGAAGAACAAACAAAAAAGAGGACAAACAAATTCATGGACATAACATAAATACTATCTTTAGTGGGATGTAGCTATGAACTGCTGATGACTGACACTGATTTTTACTGAAACTTTTATTATCTTATTAATTTATAAAAAGGCTACAAACACATCTTTAAAAAGATACATTATTGATTTTCAACAAGCTTTGTATCGTAACTACTGAGGAGGATTAGGGCCATGTCAAAGAAAAAAGGTCGTAGATTTCAAGAATAAAGTCATAGATCTACAAGAATACAGTCGTAATATTACGAGAATAAAGTTGTAAATCCACGAGAATAAAGTCTTAATATTGCGAAAGTCAACCTGTCATTTTAGGGAGAAAATAAGTCAGATTAAGAATAGAAACCCGACGTAACATGGTATAAAAAGCTAGAAAGTGTTTACTAACAGTGTTGGGGTGACTAATATGTGTTTTAACAGTACTGAAGTACTATAATGTGTTACCCAGGCCAGCTCCTTATCCCTGCTGCTTTCAGGCAGCCTTAGGACACAAAGTAATACAGGATACATTGTTATAGGTAGCCTATATGAATGGGAACACACTCAACATGGTAACGCACAGTGCAGCATCACCCAGATGTTCTTCTGGGTGATCACCGGCACCCTTCTATAATGTAGTCTGTAATATAACATAACAACACTCAGAGGATATTTATTTTCTGGTGGCGCACTTGCAAGTGGATGTATAAATGACAACTGAATAGACACGTTAATAAACGCATTACATGACATTGTAAACCTAATAATATCACCTGAAATCTGCGTTTATATCACTTAGGCACTGCTAAAATGTATATTACTGTCACCCCCAACAATGTTTGTTGGGGGTGACAGTAATATGTTGTTGTTTTTTATTCTTGTAGATTTACGACTTCCTTCTTGTAATATTTTGTCTTTATTCTCGTAGATTTACGACTTTGTTCTCATAATACTTTGACTGTATTCTCATACATTTAAGACTTTATTCTCATAATATTTCAACTTTTTTCTTGTCGATTTACAACTTTATTCTTGTAATATTTAGATTTTTATGGCATAAATTTAGGACTTTTATTCTTGTGATATTTCAGCTTTATTTTCGTAGATTTACCAATTTATTCTTTTAATATTTTGATTTTATTCTCGTAGATTTATGACTTTACTCTCATAATGTTTCTTCTCCTAACTCAAATCCAAATGTGTCATCCAGCACATTTTTGCTGGCTCTCGGGCTGTCGCTCGAACTACTGATAGAACTTCCTGTTACGTTACTGTCTATGTCTCGCCTAAAATGTCTTCAGAAACATATTTTAATGTACTGTTTGGCTGAAATACAGTCATTTGTGAACAGGAAAGGAGCATCATACTGTTTCCTGTATTATAAAAACAGAGGCTGAAAATACTTAAATTAAACTGTAAAACTAAGCAGCACTGATCAAATATAATCCAAGATTCTGTTACTGTGTTGCCTATTTCTCTCCTCAAATGTTTTCAGAAACATTTTTTAGCTTACTGTGTAACTGTAATTTGAGATTTTTCACTACCAGACGGCTGCCATTTTGTTTCCTGTGTTGAGTTTGCATCCCCCATCAACAGGAGCATTTATTGGTTCAGTGTGGTGCAGTGTATTCTGGTAGTTGTATGTATCCTACCTCTTGAGCAAAAGCGAATGCCATAGCCCTTTTTCTCTGTTTTCTCTGGTCATGTAGCACCATGACATCGGCTTGCCGCTTTTTACTACACAGACAGGTCAGGCAACACATTCTCACTCTGACCTTGTCATATATCAGACTTTGGTCATGGACTTTTTACGTCATGATATGATGGGCAAGGTAGCCTGGGTGTGTTGGTTGTTGACGTTCTGGGACATCGTGTCAACTTCAGCCTGTTACATGCATTGTCTGTTTTCAAAACACACTTGTGTTTTCACAGGAAATATACAGTTTACATATAATCTCTTTCAAAATAAATGCACTGTAAAACACCACAAATTGATGTTTTTTTTTCATTCAACAACAAATGCATGTGGTTATGTTTAGCCAACACACGCACATAGTTGGGTTTAGGTAAGAAGAACAGGGTTTGGCTTTACAATCATGCGGGAAGCGAACAGCTGCCCCCGGGGGAAAGTTGGTTGCCCTACTTTTTTCATCAGTGTCTGTCGTTGGAAGTCACTGTATTTGACGACTTCGGAGTGAGAGTTTTATCAAAAGATCATCCCTTCAGCAGTGAAATACTTCTTTATAAGTTAACTTCTCTATGGCTGTGGTCGGAAAGTCCCTGCTGTCGTCTATTCCTAATCACTATTCCTTGACCTCGGTGGGAAACGTCATGAGGTCAAGGAAAGATGAGTAGGAGAATTCATAAGGACTTAGGAAAAGAGAACCACGGAGCTGAGAAAATCCGACCGCACTTACGCTGGGCTACGTCATCATGCGACGGCGGATGTTATTGACGTGGGTCTGCTGTGGTGAAACTACAATGTTCTGAAGATGGACTACAAAATGCACACGATGAGAACGTATGGGACATACGTTCTCATCGTGTTGTTTCATGCAGGATATATAAACGTGGACAACACAGTGAAAGATATTGTTTAATTACTAAGGTCGGAACTGAATTAAAAAAATGAATATAGGCTACCAGTCACAAACTGAAACGAAATTGTCACATTGTCACAGAGAAAGTTTGTTCACACTCACCCATCTGAATCCCAAGTAGTAAAATGAATTAATGATATTACTAAAGGCTGGCAATATAACAACGCTAAAATGAATAAATGACTGATGCAAACTGAGCATATGTTACGGTGCGTGTCCCCTCCGTCCACAGCTGTGTTCAACTTGTTTGTTTTATAACAGGATAAAAAAATATTAAATGCATTATTTTGTTTTTCTATGTGAATAAAAAAAATAATGGAAATCCACGTACTTTTTCCATTTTCTTCTTCAAATGGGCAATTGGAGGCGAAATTAGACCACAACCAGTAATTAACTTGTGTTTGGCCTTTATTGTTAAATCAAAATTATGTGCCCCTACTGCATAGATAGACAGATAAATAATAAATAATAAATTATAATAATATTAATAAAAGGGACGCTGCTGTGCCTCGTGCGTAAATGCGCACAGCGTCTCTCTTTATGGGGAAACGCTCTTATTGTTTATGCTGCGGAGTGGGGGGTGGGGTGGGGTGCTCGCTGCAGGTATTTAATAACCTCAGGCAGATATCTTTTAACGTTACAGTCTTTTGTATTTTTTGTTATGATCCTTCCACTGTAGCTCTGCAGGGAAACACTGTACAGGGGAATAAAAAAGTGGGAAGCAGTAACTTCATTGATGATTTAAATCTCCAGATACGCCAAGTATATGCGCATTTATGCACGAGGCACAGCAACGTTACTTCTTTTTTATATAGTGCCAAATCAAAACAAAAGTCATCTCAGGGCACTTTACACATAGAGCAGGTCTAGATAATACTCTTGAATCTATCTATCTATATATCTATCTATCTATCTAGGCCATAAGCATAGCCGATGCCAATGTTTTGAGATGCAGTAGATCTCCTTCCTTTCTCGGTCATGTTGATCTTTTTCTTTCCTAATCATTTGAGTTTGTGAATGGTGCGTCAATATTGCCGCTACAATGACTTGTGCGATGGAATTATCTCCTTTCCTATCGCTTAGGAAGGTCCGATGTATCCTATGCTAAAGGAGATCTGAAAGGAAGCATTGAACCTCCTTTCCTTAGTGTTTAGAGAATTCGAACAGCTCTTATCATGGCGGCCGCTAAAATACTTCCGGGTCATTTCACCCAGCTAGGAACCTTCCTAAACAAAAAAGACTTTCCGAACGCAGGGTATGACTCATCATGATTTAATGCAGGATGTATCGCGAATTTCTTTTGCTAATTGAAATGCTCTAGCTCTGCACAACCTGCCATAGCTGCATGCATTTCAGTGTATCTATTATCATGTAAGAAAAGTGTTAATATGTCTCTGTTCAGACCATCTATTAAATCTCATGCACGGATTGTATCTCATAGTCACATACTTGTCAGAGTAATCCTGCTAGCTATTGTCATTTAACACGTCACAATGAGTGCAGTTTCCCCTCAGCTGACTCTACCTGGTGTCAGGTCAGATATCTTACACTCCTCCTCATGAGAGAGATAATGTGTGGTCACATTAGAGACTCTGATAAAGTGATACATTCTATTCAGGTAATGTTGGCAGGCTAAAGGGCTGTGCTGAGGCAGAGGGGTAGAAGAAGAGGAGGAATTAGTGAGAAAACAAAAGGTGGTGGCATGCTGTAGGAAACATCCTCAGGCATAATTCTTTCCCAAAGGAGCCAGGCCTACTGCGAATGGAGAGGAGACGTCAGGTCGAGAAAGGCCTTTCACTGAGGAGTGTGTCTGCTGCGTATACCAGGCCCTGAAGCTTCTCTCTGTGTGTACGTCAGCATCAAAGACAGAGAGGGCAGAGAAAAATTACAAGCCAAGCTGATGTACAAAGAAATCCCTCAACACAAATGTGACGTGAGCAGCTGGGTGCTCCGTGCATAAAAAAGAAATAGTTAAAAGCACCAGCATGAAGAAAAATCATCTCTACTACTTAGAATTTTACAAGAGGAAAAGACTGGGGAACTCTAAATGTGTCTTAATAATTTTTTCGTGCCTACTCTTGTATATTTCAGAATGAAAAAATGCATTAATATTCCAATATGTAATAATTGTGGTGTTTCTTTTTTGTTTGTTTTTTTTTTACATTTCCAGCTTTTATTGTGCATGTATTGTTTTGATGCAGAT